GGGAGATCAGTGGCAGAAGGCCTTGAATCTGTTTTACGAGATGGACATCAAGGGTATCAAACGCGATACGATTACCTACAGTGCCGTTATATCCGCATGCGGGAAGGGAGTTAAGTGGCAGTATGCCTTGGATCTGTTTGATGAGATGGAGATCAAAGGTATCACACGCAATACGATTACTTACAATGCCGCTATAACGGCTTGTGGGAGGGGAAATCAGTGTAAGAAGGCCTTAGAAATTTTTATGGAGATGAGCGAAAAGAATATACCAAAAGCTCATGGAAGTTATATTGCAATTATCCAGGCGCTAGGTTCAGATTGTACGAACAACGACGTGATCGATGCGCTGTATGAGGACATGCTTACAAGCCTCCCTGACTTTGGTCAGCGTTGGCTTCGCTTGAACAGGCATGGTATGCTAGATTTGCACGATCACTCGCAATACATGGCACAAGCCGCGACCAGACGGCTACTACGAATTCTCCAGAAACAAGAGGGCTATGATTCGCCGGAGAAAAGTTCGGAACTCAAGTGCATCATCGTGGGCCAGGGCAACGACAGCGCTGATGGACTTCAGTTACTGAAAGCCGTGCAGGCACAACTGGAGAGTCTGAGTCCCCCAATTGCATCCTACACCCAGTCGGAGAATAGTGGTCAGCTGGCACTTAATAAGCGTGATTTAGGTGATTGGCTGAAGCACAAAGCGTGAGGGGTTGCGAGTTACTACCTTTCATGATTTTATTCTGACGTCAATACTACATCAAGATAACCCGCTGGTGCAGTCCGTGTATGACCACTTCCAACCCTTTTTGGAATATTTGATGGTAAATTTACTGTAGTAGCAGGCCTTCTTGAGATCCACTATTGCATCCAGCTATCGATGCATGACTCTGATCATCAGAGTCATGCATTTTAGTTACGACTGGTTTGTCGACCCTGATTGTGGAATGCTTGCTTTCATACAGGTACAGCTCAATAGCTATGATTCGAACACCAGACGCATGCACATCAGTAATTCAATACGCATAGGTATACACTTAGCGGTAAGAGCATTTTCGCGTGCCCAAGAAACAGCCCACCATCTTCACAATAGGATATGGCCTACATAAAGGATACATCACCCGATCACTTATGTCTATATA